GATTTTCAGAGGAAGCTTTTTGGTAACGATTCTTAACCTATTTATGGTTATATTCCACTAATCTATCATTAATTTTATCTTTTAATTTCGTATTTGGGTGAACATTTGGGGAAAATGGGAAGAAGTTCTTCAACTAAGATTTTGGATTTTGATTAAGATTTTGATATCGGATTTGAAAAATTTTGGTACGAGTGAACTTGTGTGTGAATGGGTGTTCATATTTTGTGACTTTTACCCGATTCTGAGACGTGGGCCCGGGGAGGCTTTTTGGGGTGATTTTCTAATTTCTTGTTTTAGCTTTGATTTCATTAATTAGATTAGTTTCTTATAGTTGTATTTATGGCATGTAATTGATTTTGGCTAGATTTGGGCCATTCGGAGTCAGATATTCGTGGAAAAGGCATTCTTACTGATTGATTGAGCTTGGTTCGAGGTAAGTGGCTTGCCTAACCTTGTGTGGAGGAAATCCCCTTAGGATTTTGTACTGTTGTGATATGTGAGCGCCGTGTACGTGAGGTGACGAGTACGTACACGGGCTATTTGTTGTAAAACCCGATTTATTTTACTGAGTAGTAATCTACTTTTCCTTTAATTTGAGTTATACCGTTTGAATAAGTATTAGTATGTTTTCATTCTTAATTGAGCTATTTCAATATGTATAGCTATCCTGTTTAGTCTAATATCGTATATCTACATACTTGAACTACTTATTTGAACTCTTTATAGCATGCCTAGTGAATTCTTGCTTCTTTTCTTGACTTGTACTTAGTCTAAACTGTAGATTCTCTTGTTGTACCTATCATCTGTAATTGTTTGAGCTGTGTGTTTACTTTTGAGACTACGAGGCGGTTCCTTGGGAGTTCTCCCTGTATATTTACTTTTGAGACTACGAGGCAGTACCTCGGGAGTTCTCCTTGCACATTTACTTTTGAGACTACGAGGCGGTACCTCGCGAGTTCTCCCTGTATATTTACTTTTGAGACTACGAGGCAGTACCTCGGGAGTTCTCCTTGCACATTTACTTTTGAGACTACGAGGCGGTACCTCGCGAGTTCTCCCTGTATATTTACTTTTGAGACTACAAGGCAGTACCTCGGGAGTTCTCCCTGCATAATTGTTTTGTTACTACGAGACGGTATCTCGGGAGATCCCCTGCTGTTTATCCCTGCGTGTTGCACTGTTATTTTGCTGTATTTTCCTTTGTTAAATTACAATCTCTTATTATACTGTTATATTCTCCTGCTTTATTTATTATATACCAGTGGGCCTGACCTGACCTCGTCACTGCTCTACCGAGGTTAGCTTGGCACTTACTGGGTACTGTTGAGGTATACTCATGCTACTCTTATGCATATGTTTTTGTGTGCAGATCCAAGTATTTCTTATCAGCCCTGCTACTAGTTGAGAGTACTTGTTGTTGTACGGAGACTTCAAGGTACATCTGCCGCATCCGCAGACCTCGGAGTCCCCCTCTATTCTCTCCTATGTCATTTACCTTCCGTACTTCTTTTGTTATACTCTGGTGTATAGAGATACTAGTTTCCTTCTGTAGCTTGTGACTTATGATGTTTCAGGTTTTGGGAAGACTGTGTATTTATAGAGTATTGGTTATTGTACATGCCGAGCGACATTGTTACTAGTTATTTAATTATCTACTGGTGTTAGTTGCCAAGTTTTACTTTTGTTTTGTTATTTTCTGCAATTTGTTAGGCTTACTTAGTCGTAGAGACTAGGTGTCGTCACGACATTATACGGAGGGAGTTTGGGTCGTGACACAATATCTCTTGACTTTGTTATGCCTTGAGAATATTGAGTACTTTGGTTGTGACGCTTAGGCTCAGTTTTTGACTCTTGTATAAGTACCTTAAATTGTATGATCTTAACTTTGCTTAACTGCTTTGACTAGAGTGTCTTGATGAGTCCAATCCTGAGTGAGTTATGTGCCATGTGTGTGTGAGGTTTGTGTGTTATTCTATGCACTACATTTGATGTCTAGAACTTGCCCCGTGTGTTTGCAAAGCGAAATAGTAGTTTTGTTCAGTCTTGGAAGTGATATAGGCGTTTCTTTGTTGAGCCAGATATGTATATTTTACCTGCCTAATTGTTATGTATTGTAGTTAACTCTTTGAGCTTGTAATTTTGTTTCTTTGGAAACCATATTACAAACCTTACCCATTTATTTGAATTACCCATCTATTTGAACCTTTTCACCTTTCATGAGCACTTGAATTATAATGAACTTTGTAAAAGTTAAAGTGTGGGGTGGTTGGTTTGGCTTTTGAGTGGAACTAATAAAATAAGGAGAAAGGTGCACTATTTTAAAAAAGTAAGAGCCACTTGAATTGAAAAAGGAAAAAAAATAGTTGTATTGCTGTGAAAAATATTCTTTGATAGTGGTTACTCTTGATGTAATTCTGCTTAAAGAAGCATGGAGTTAATATACATTGATCTGAAGATGGAGTTATGGTTTGACATAAGTGTGGGATTTTAAATATTAAAGTGTATGTATTAAAGTGATTAGTGAGGTATAGTCACTCTTATATCCAAATGTATCCTACCCGACCCGCAGCCTACATTACAACCAATTAAAGTCCTACTTGATCCTAGACTGAATGAGCTCGATTAGTAGAGTAGTACACTACGGGCAAGCCTATGGTGCATATTTTGTGGCATATGAATATTATTTCTGAGATTGAGTGAATTTTTTCTATTTCGAGTTCCTAATTGTTCTTAAATTTTATTGTGTGTGGAACTACTCTCTTTTGTTATGTGAGGGCACTTGATTCATGAAGGAAAGGTAATGTCATTGACCTCTATGTTAGAGTAAGCGAGTGAGTTGTGAATAATGCATGGTACTTGTGAGTCAACTCTTGAGGTGAAAATGTTACACTCATGTGCTTAGTTTATTTTAAAGATTCTTGGTGTGATGAGTTAGGAGAATTGTTTAAAAAGGTCGTGTCTATATAAAGTTTAGTCTGATTGCTCGAGGACGGGCAATGGTTTAAGTGTGGGGTATTGATGGTAGGCTATAATTGCGTATTTTAGTTGCTTATTATACTCTAAATTACTGTACTTTAATTGAGTTTGAGCTTTAATCGCTAGTGTTTTGTACTAATTGCATGTTTTATGCCTTGTAGGAGTGATTCTGAGCTATGTAGATGTTATGGAGCCAACTAAGCAAGACTGTTGGGATCGTGTTTGGGGGTCGAGGATCAATTCTGGACGTAAAAATTCAAGGAAGAAGCAACAGCTAAAGAAAAACACTAGTGCGGGGCACTGTTCGAGGCACTGTGCGACTCATTAGTGTAATTTTATGTAAGAAATTTTCAAAGTTCAGAGACTGAATTTTTTTGGTCTTACAGGAAAAAGCACTAGTGTGATGCACGGGGCGACGCACAGTGCGACACATGAAAAGCAATAAGTTTGTAAGTTTTTCTATTTCGGCTAGAAAAGGTATTTTCGTCTGGGCCCGACCCTACTTAGTATAAATACATGTAAAAATATTTTTTAGAGGAATTTTGACATACTTTAGACCTAGGGAGAGCACGGAGTCGCCGTGGAGGCCAGAATTGATTAGATTTCATCTTTCTTCTATCAAACTTAGTAATCTTTATTTTTTCTTGATGATTTGTTGTTTAGCTACCATATGTATGTGGAGCTAAACTTCACGTTCTAGGGTTGTGGTTGTCATGAATATTGAAGTTTATTAATTATATTATCGTTAATTTGAGTTATCATCTTTGATTGTTTCTCTAATTCTGTGCATAATTGCTTAATTATTTGGCCAGCAGTTGAGTTCTATTTACTATCTATGCTATGCTTGGGAAAGCCGTATTTAGATTAGAGTAGAATTAGAGAGGGCTTGTTTCTGCACCCGTGGCTCGGGGAAAGATTTCGCGGTTTGGATAAGAATATACCAAACAGTCTTGCTTAGTTGAATACCGTATTATATTCGTTCATGATAGATTCAAGACCATAGGAATATAGGGTTGATATATTATGGATAGACATATAGTATTGTGGGAACATACTATTTATATAAACGATCCGGTCAACTTGCAATCATAGATAATTTGGATTAACAGGTGTAATTACGAACTCAATAGGATTGAGAAACTGACCACAACCCTGGAATCTAGATCTCCCTGGGTTACGTGTTTAAATTTCACAATAGTAGTTGTAATAGAAAAATCAAACTCTTGATTATCTTGGACAATTAACTAATTTTAGCTTGCTTAGTAATGGTTAATCTAAGTCTCTGTGGGTTCGACATCCAACTTTCGAGTCACTTTATTACTTGACGACCATGTATACTTGCGTGTACTTGGGGAACCATACAATATATAGAAAGTAACAATCTGATAACACGTCGATAATAACACAACAAAATCTTTGAAAAATCGTTTTGACTATGTTAATTCTTAAAAAATATGGTGGATCAATTCATTTGCACTTTCAAATATATTAACTATTCAAAATATATAAAATTATTCTTAAAATTCTGGATAAAAATTTGAGATCAGTATATAGATGCTAATAATTAAGAAAAGAAATCACCTTAGTCTTCTGAGAAACATTACCCGAACCTTGGGGGCTGTGTAACCTCACGTTTCTATTAGTGTGATATAGCAGATAACTAGTAAATAGTCGAGGTGGTGCATGCTGCTAAGATGGTATGAACACCATCGTCATAAAATTCAAACAAAACATACACAAATTTTATAGAATAAATTTAATGTTACTTATTAAAATTTAACTTTAGGCCACAAATTTCATTAATCCTCCCCTTCATTCAGCCAAGACAGCTCCAAACTTTAAAAAAATAACAAATACTAATAATCATTTATCTAAATTAGTACTAATTACATAAACTCACTAAACCTCCGGATAAATTAATGGTTATTTTTGCCTCCGAAAAAAAAAACCAAGAAAAATAATTACCATAATCAAACCTTTCTTTCTTTCTCTCTTTTTTTTTTGGAAAAACGAAGGAGAGAAGTGTTTGTCCCATGACGATTTTGGAATAGCCAATTCTTCATTTGGCTCAAGAGCCAAGGCACTCATCGTCCTTTTTTGTTTGCTCTGCACTTCACATAATTCTCTTTTTTCGAATTTCTCACATCTTTTATTTTCTTAATTAAAATTTCTTTTACCAAAACATAAATTTTGGTTATAGGAATTTGAAAGTTTAAACGTTAATTCTTTTGTTCTTCTTCCTTCCTCTTTAAGCCTTTTTTCCAAAAACTTCTAATTATTTGTTGGGAAAATGGCAATTGGTGTATTCTGTGGTGTGGTTCCTTTTATATTCCGCAGGAAGCCTTCTGAGTTTAAGGTATTTTCTTCTATTTCTTTCATTTATTGTTTACCTCATTTTTTTTTCCATATAATTTCTAATGTTATTAAAACATGTTTGTCTAAACGTTGAATACGTAAAGTTTCCCCATTTTTACATGAAAATCCTTATCATACGACGACTAAGAAGAAGAAGAAAAAAAAAAAGCAAAATTCTGCATTTTCATTATTCCATGCAAACATCAACGTGGCAATTTTCTTCCTATTTTATTGGATATCCTAAAAGGACCTCTCTCGCAATCTTTTTTCAAAACCATGTTTTGGTTTATGGGATTGTCGCCGCTTGACAGGAGGTCAAAAGTTCAAGTTGGTACGGTAAACTTGAGTACAATAGACCCAATGTGGTTAGGTCTTTTCCTTGCGCACAGCGGAAGCTTTGTGCACCGAAGTGTCCTTAAACATATAAGTTGATGGATGACAAATACTTAAAAAATAAAAACCACCTCAAAAAGTTTCATCATATCAAATGAAGTCTTTGTTAAATTTTTTATATACATGAAAAAAAAAAACTCATTCACGTTGAATTTTGACATATCAATGATATTCCCGCTATAGAAGGGAAACCCAAGAGCAACGGTTAAGTTGTTTTAGTGTGACCTATAGGTCACATATTCGAACGGTAAATTAAGTTGTCTCCGTATGATCTATAGGTCACAGGTTCGAGCTGTGAAATCAGTCACTGATGCTTGCATCAGGGTAGACTACCTACGTTACGACCTTTTTTCGGATCCTGCATGAACACGAGATGTTTTATATACCGAACTACTCTTTTCGTGATATTCCTGTGATAAAATAGCATGCTAACAGAAATTAACAATATTTTTCAGGAAGAAGACACACGTAAGACAAGGAGATTACATACTAGAGTAATAAAGAAATTACCTTCTATATTAGTATCAAAAAAATATAAAGCAGCCAAAGGTTCCAAAGTACGCAATTCATGTGGGGTGAAAACACCAAAAGCTGCAACTTTGCACAATTCAAGTGTGGCAAAAACAACAAAAAGTCCAACTTTTCATAATTCATGTGGAGTAGCCAGCAACTTCAGAATAATGACAGATATAAGAAACAAGATCCTCTCCTTAAGAGACTTGCTTGATCTTTCTCCTTGTGATGGCTCTGAATCTGCAAATGAGGTATTTCTTCAGTTACTTTATCTTCAAGGATTTAATAAGTTTAAGTTATATATACTGTCGAATGGGAGCCTTGAAGCAACGGTAAAGTTGTTTCCGTGTGACCTATAGGCGACGGGTTCGAGCCATGGAATCAGCCATTGATGCTTGCATCAGGGTAGGATGCCTACATCACCCCCTTGGGATGTGGCCCTTCCCGGACCCTGAATGAACGCGGGATGCTTCGTTCACCGGGCTGCCCTAAGTTATATATACTGCCAGTGTAAAGAATGTTTACGTCATCATGTCAATTTTATCTATCGTAGCAGATAATCTGTCTTATTTTCAAGATTACAAATCCAACATTTTAAGGAGATTTACCTAAAGATATCATTTGGGTGACCTGATAACGTAAAAGATTTCTTCCACTAACAGTGTATATAACTTTACTTTTTGAATATACAAACTGATTTTGCAAAAAAATAATATTACACTATCAGGATATTTTAACTCATCATAGCAGGTAACATGCCTCATATTCCAGGTTACTAATTCCGTTTCTTATGGACGGTTAATTACCTGTAATTTAAGTGACCTGATAGTGTAAAAATTATATTATGCTGTCAGTATATAGAAGTTAAACTTCTTCGATACTTGTTAAAGGTCAATGCCATTTTCCAGAACAGAACAAGAAGTCTTTTTTAACTTTCTGTTTTGTGCATATTTTCCTACAGCTGCTGATATCAACTCTGATTGATCTACATAAACTGTATCCTTCGATCAACCCGGATTTTTCATTGGCAAAAATTGATGGAGCAGCAATACATGAGGTTATTTACTCCCTAAGTTGAGCATTTTTAATATATGCAGTACTGTTGTTTTTAAGCAAAACCACAACTTACTGAGCTAACCAAAGTTTCCCTATTTTTTCAGAAAGTGCGATGCTTTTGTGATATATTGAAATCAATCGGGCAAATGTGGACTGGAAATGATGAGTGGATGATCAAATGCAAAGAGAACTCATGCAGTAAACTAAATGATTTTGAATATGGTATGATCATATCTGTAGTTTAATACTCCCTCCGTCCCAAAAAGATAGTAATTCTTTTCGGATTAGGAGGGTCAACTTCTTAACTTTGACCATGAATTCGGACATAGAATCTTTAATTTTTTTTAAAATAAAATTTATATATTTGAAAACTACAGAAAAAGTACTATAAGTCATAATAATTAATAATTTAAAATATTTCAAAGGTACATGAAAAAGTCGTGGTCAAAGAACAACTCGTTTGACTCTCGAAATCCGAAAATGTCATCCTTTTTGGGACGGGGGAGTATTATATAGTGATTTATTTTATGTTATTCATCATTTTTTCTTCGATATGAGAGTTATAATTAATGATTTTTTTCGGTTTACAATTTAGTATCGGCATTGCTCGAAGACATTATTAAGCTAGCTAGTGAAAGGATGATAGAAATGACGGATGAGGATGAGGATGACGATGAGGACGAGTACGAGGATATTGAGGATGATCAGACCAGAGATAGAAGTCCTTCACCTGATGCATTTGAGGAGGATATTGAGGATGATCAGACCAGAGAAAGAAGTCCTTCCCCTGATATATTTGAAAAGGATTTTTCCGAGTGTTATTCAAGCAACAATTCTTCTCTTTCGAGCTCTCCAACTTCAATCCTCCCTGAGATAATAACCAATGCTTCAAAGAAGAATGCAAAGGCTTCTATCGCCGCCCCTCTTCGCCTATCACTCAAGGTTCAAGCAGTTGGAAAGAAGAATCCAATTGAGGTAAAGCACCTGTCGTTCCACATGTTTCCCAATGTAAATCAAGATTCAAATATAGAAGCAAAGCAAGATTTTGAATATAGTCAAGATTGTGAAATAGTGGACTTGCCAGAGATTCTACTGACTAACCTGGAGAATTTATCAGAAAATAGTGGAATATATTGGACTGGTGCATCAAATGGTCAACCAGTGCAAGCTCGTGTTACATTTGATGTGTTTTTACCTCCATCTTCAATTTCTAAGTTGCAATCAAATGTAGCAGAACAGGCAGCAGTGCCACCTTCTCCATACATTTTATCACCAAAACTTATAGAATCACAGGGACCAACAACACCTGCACCCGATTCCACGCTCTCACCAGAGAGCGAGGAATTAAAACCATCGTCACAAGCAGCCCAACCTACTACATCAGGAAACAGCGTCACATTAGGAAACAGCGTAACACCTCCACCTCCGCCTCCTCCCACTACATCAAAAAATAGAGCAGTGCCTCCCCCTCCGTCGCCGCCTCCCAGGAAATCAGAAATAGTACATTCATTTCCACCTCCACTTTCACCTCACAAAGGATTAAGGGGTATGGTAACCTCACATCCACTTCCACCAAGGGAATCAAATGGAGCAACACCAGCGCCAGCACCACCTTCGCCGAAGCCAATTGGAAAGGTAGCTGTACCACCACCACCACCAATGCCAATGGGAAAGAGAGCTACACCTCCACCATCACCACCTCCACCTATGCCAATGAAAAAGGGAGGTGCACCACCACCACCACCGCCAGTGTTTGCAGGTGCAAAAAATCTACGACTTAAGAAAGCAGCTACTAAACTGAAAAGATCATCCCAAATGGGAAATCTTTATCGATCTCTTAAAGGAAAAGTTGAAGGATCTAGTTTAGATGGTAAATCAAAAGGGGGAAAGGGAAAATTTAGTGCCGCCTCAAAAGGAGGTAAACCAGGAATGGCTGATGCATTAGCTGAGATGACAAGGAGGTAATTAATCTTCTTGAAATCTCAAATCATTATTTTGGTAGGAGGCAACATATTCTCTGACAATGTTTATATTTCACAATTATGAATTATATATCTCACAGGTCAGCATATTTCCAACAAATTGAAGAGGATGTTAAAAATCATGCTAAAACAGTCATGGAGATGAAGAAGGCCATTGCTTCTTTCCATACATCAGATATGTCTGAGCTCATTAGATTCCACAATTATGTGGAATTCCACCTTGAGAAACTAACAGACGAATCTCAGGTTCATCCATATTTCTTATTTCTACCACAAACTACCATTTCAGGATGTCGTCGGCTTAAAGATTTTCTTGGTACAGGTGCTAGCAAGATTTGAAGATTTTCCTTTTAAGAAGTTGGAAGCGTTGAGGACGGCAGCAACTCTCTATTCCAAGTTAGATTCAATAGTCTGTACTTTACAGAGTTGGCAACCGGCCTCGCCTGTTAGCCAACATCTTGCTAGAGCTGAGAGGTACTTCAACAAGGTAGAAACTAAATCCCTGGACCTCAAAACTTCACATAACTCACCTCCAATTTTAATTTCCCTTTAGCAACTCTAACAAATAATTTTCTGTCTAGATAAAAGGAGACGTGGACTCTCTGGAAAGGACAAAAGATGAAGAATCCAAGAAACTAAAAACCCATAAAATCCATTTTGATTTCAGCATACTAGTGCGCATCAAAGAATTGATGGTCGATGTTTCCTCAAACTGTATGGAACTGGCAATAAAGGTTAGTACAATGAAAATCACTCAAATATTAAATCTTGTAAATAACTGATACAATGTTTTGAATTTGAAATGTACTTCAAACATATTTCAATACGTCGATATGGAATGCATAGAGCATCATTCAGATCAATACTTTCTAAATCTCTTACATGGTATGTACATTAAACACTTTGGTAATTGATTTGGTTAACAAAAGGGGACAGTCCGGTGCACAAAGCATCTCGTATTCCCGCAGGGTCCGGGGAAGAGTGGCACCACTAAGGTGTGATGTTTACAGTCTACCCTAATGCATGCGTCAGTGATTGCTTCCACGGCTCGAACCCGTGACCTATATGTCACACGGAGACAACTTTAGCATTGATTTGATTAACAATTTTTTGAAATAATGCTGTAATGTTGAATCAGGAAAAGAGAGAAGCAATGGCAAGGGAAAAAGATGGAGCTGCACAAATAAATGAAGGGTGCAAAAAGGAATCAGCTCAACTGCTTTGGAAGGCCTTTCAGTTTGCATTTAGAGTCTATACTTTTGCTGGTGGGCATGATGAGAGAGCAGAAAAGTTGACAAAAGAATTGGCTGAAGAAATCGAGACAGGCCTTCATCGTTAGATAATTAGCTTCTGCCCCTTTTTTCCAAACCAAAAAGGAAACAAAAGAAAGTCACTATAGGCTGCAATATATTGGCATTGTTGATGCTATTCTTGGCAAGGGCCTTGTAAATGCTTCATTGAGCTGTGATTTTCATGCTTATATATATACTAGGAGAGAATTGCTAGACATGATAATCATTATTTGTTTAGACTTAAGGGAGAATTGAGCTAAAATCTAGCTTTGCCCTACCATTTGTTGATACATACAATATATATCACACCTTAGTGACTGGTTTTGTAGCATGTGTATAGCAGCAGACTGTCTATTCTTTCCTTGTCAAACAAAAAAAAAACACTTGTAACAACTATATAGATTGCCTAGAGTCTAACTTCTATATACTGACAGTATAACATAAGAGATAGCTACAAGTAACTTATGTGTTATTAATAACTTGGAAACAAGGCACGCAATGCAGCTACAGCATGTTAAAATACATAAAAAAGGACAGTCCAGTGCACAAGGTATCCCGCGTTCACACAGGGTCCGGGGAAGGACCGCACTCCAAGGGGTGTGATGTAGACAGCCTACTCTAATGCAAGCATTAGTGGCTATTTCCACGGCTCGAACCTGTGACCGATAGGTCACACGGAGATAACTTTACTTTTGCTCCAAGGCCCTTCTCTAACATGTTAAATTGCATATATGTGTAAAAAAAAATACAGTATCAGTGTATATAAGTTAAATTAATGTATGTCGTCTATTCTTTTATACAGTTTTATTTGTGGGCATCTCCCATATAGTTGAATCTTAAGTTTTTTTTGTCAAAAAATGATAGCTCAACATAGTTATGAATATATTGTAGCATAATTATTCCTTTCATTTTCACCTGATTTCAACTTGCAAGAAAGAAGAAATTTCGACAGATACTATTTTGTCCTTCTTTTGATATTTGATTTTATCAGTCCTCCTAGAAATTTTAATATATCCCATCATTTTTAACAGTCAAAATGTGGTAGAACATGTCAACACCATCACGTATTTCAAATATTACCCAAGTGATCATATGCATTGAAACAAAAGCAGAACTCAAGTCTAGAGCTAAAAGAAATAAATTCATTTAAACAAAAAGACAAACACCTGATAGGCTTCACTTCAAAAATGTGGATTGTGATTCTCGTGGGTAGCTTAGATAGTTAGATTACAAATCTCCATATAACTCAATATTATTGGGTTAAATGAGCTTAACGGGACAGGATATATAGCAACGTGGTTCATCTACTGTCATAATTTATTAGGCTTTTTGTTTACTTTCGTCTTCAAGAGAGAGATTTAGTGGGCGTTTGGACATAAGAATTGTAAAATTTCAAAAAAAATTCAAGTGAAAATGGTATTTGAAAATTAGAGTTTGTGTTTGGACATAAATATAATTTTTGGTTGTTTTTGAATGTTTGTGAATGATTTGAGCGAAAATTTTGAAAAATAACTTTTTGGAGTTTTTCAAATTTTCTAAACATATTAAGAAATCTACTTTTTAGCATTAATTAATAATGAAATTGACCATATTAATCTTAATTTGCTTATTAGAAATACAACCAATACTCCTTGACTCTTTGCTCCAAAGACAACTTTGAAAAAAAGAAATTAATTTTTTCTTGATATTTGAAAAAATCTAATATTATGAACCACAAAATGTTAAGCTGAAGATTAATCAACAATGGCAGAAAGAGAGAAAATGACAGAAAGGAGAAACTGAGTCGGTCCAGCCAAGTCTAGACCACTCTTTTATTTCTATTATCTATCTGTATTTTCATAAAATCTGAGTATATATATTTACAACAATAAAGAATGGTAAGAAAAACAAAAATACAATTGGGCCGAGTATCCTATGTTATTCCTGGTCTACTTGGTTGGGCCCTTTTCCTTTAGCTGAGCCCATATCTGGGTTAACACCCCCTTTCAAGCTAGAGAGTAAAAATACACCAAGCTTGCCAAGAATACTGTGATGAAGTTGTCCACATAGAGCCTTGGTCATAATATCAGCTAATTGATTGACATTGGAAACAAAATGCAAAGAAACAAGTCCTGAATTCAAGCATGTGCGAACATAATGACAATCGATCTCAATGTGCTTTGTACGCTCATGAAAAACTGGATTTTTAGCAATGTGAAGAGCAGCCTGGGTATCACAATGGACTGGGACAGGAGCACAAATAATGAGACCAAGATCCCCAAGTAGTCTGACCAGCCATGAGATTTCAGCAGCTACTTTCCTTAGAGCCCTGTATTCAGCCTCAGCTGAAGACAAGGAAATAGTGGGTTGTTTCTTACTTTTCCAGGAAATTGGGTTGCCACCAAGTGTCACATAATATCCAGTAATAGATTTGCGAGAAATAGCACAAGAAGCCCAATCCGAATCAGAATAGGCCACAAGAGACAAGTTAGAAGAGCTGGAGAGAAACACACCCTGAGCAGGATCAGCTAACAAATATCTGAGAACATGCAGCCCAGCCATCATGTGAGGAACATGAGGTTTCTGAAGAAACTGGCTCAAGTGCTGGACAATAAAGGATATATCTGGTCTAGCGTGTTGTAAGAAATTGATATTGCCAATAAGCCTTCTGTACAAACTAGGATCAGGGAGGAGATCACTCATGTCTAGAGTCAGGTTAACAGAAGGGTCCAAATGACTCACAACAGAGGAGAAATAGTGGCAATTGAATTCAGCAAGAAGATCATTGGTGTATTTGTGCTGACTCGTGACATAACCCTGAGAGGTTTTGGAGATTTCAAGCCCTAAGAAATAATGGACTGAACCCAAATCCTTGATTTTGAATGGTCATCCAAAAATTACTTCAGGGAGTTCATTTCAGATAGGTCATTTCCAACCAATAATACATCATCAACACAGACAGCCAATACCACCAAAGAACCAGAAGAGAATTTAGTGAAAAAAGAGTAATCATTTAAACTGGAAATGTAGCCTCTTAACAGTAAAACCTCAGACAGTTTTGAAAACCACTGCCTGGAGGCTTGTCTGAGGCCATAAAGAGATTTCTTGAGCTTACAGACTAGATGAGCTGAAAAAGAAGCAGGGGAGACATCAAGACCAGGAGGAATTTTCATATAGACTTCCTCATGGAGATCACCATGAAGGAGGGCATTATTAACATTCAACTAGTATACAGTCCAATCTCTTTTGATGGCAAGAGTTAAGAGGCTTTTGATTGTGGTGAGCTTGATAACAGGGGAGAAGGTTTCAGTAAAATTAATCCCTTCCCTCTGAGTATCTCCTCTAATAACTAACCTTGCCTTGTATCTCTCAATAGACCCATCTACCCTCTGCTTAATCTTATAAACCCATTTGCAGGGAATAGCCTTCTTTTGTGGAGGAAGAGGGACAATGTCCCAATTCTGATTAGCCTCAAGAGCATGAAATTCTTTTAGCATGGCCTCTTTCCAAGAAGGATGAGCTGCAGCCTACTGGTAAAACTGAGGTTCATGCATGTGAGCTTCACTAGGTGAGACTTTAGAGGGTGTAGAATTAGAAGAGGAGATGACATAAGTACAAATATAATCCTCAAGATAAGAAGGTTGAATAACAGTTCTAGTGGACTTTCTTAAGGGAGGAAGAGCAGAAGTAGTTGAAATGGAAGTAGGAAGAGCAGAAGTAGTTGAAATGCAAGTAAGAGGGGTAGAAATAGAAACAGGGGAGACAACAAGTGGTGGAGATGAAGGGAGATGATTAGGAAAAGCTTCAGGAGGACTAGCAGAGGAAATATCTACAGGAGTAAAAACTGGGATATCCACAAAAGTGGTTGGTAAAATATTGAAAGGAGGAGAATTAGAGGAAGAGGAATAGGGAAAAATATGCTCATGAAATACCACATCTCTAGAATGGAAAACAGAAGAGTTAGATAAGTTGAGCAATTTGTATCCTTTCTTCCCACATGGATATCCTAAGAATATACAAGCAATAGCTCTAGATTGAAACTTATCCCTGCCTACCTTAGGGGAAGTGGAAAATGAGAGACAACCAAATGATCTTAAGTGGTCTTAAGGAGGTAGATGACCATGAAGTTTTTCAAATGGGGAATGTTTGAGAAGAAGTGATGAAGGCATTCTATTGATAAGGTATGTGGCAGTCAATACACATTCCCCCAAAATTTCAGAGGTAATTTGGATTGAAACAGTAGTTCTCTTGAAATTTCTAAAAGATGTTTGTGTTTTCTCTCTACAACACTATTTTGTTGTAGAATGTGAGGGATAGAAGTTTGATGTAAAATTCCTTGTGAAGCAAAGAAACTGATGGCTTCAGAACTACTTCCAAGTTCAAAAGCATTATCTGATCTAAAAGTTTGTATTGAGGAATTGAAGTGAACTTTTACCATATAGGTGAAAACTTTGAGAATGGACAGAGCATTACTCTTGGAAGAAAGAAGATGAGTCCAAGTGACTCTGGTAAAATCATCCACTAAAGTGAAAAAATATCTAAAGCCATTATAAGTTTTAGTATTATAAAGTCCCTAAATATCAATGTGAATTAGTTAAAAATGTGTGGTAGAATGAATAGTACTATCATGGAAAGGTAGTCTTTGTTGTCTAGCCATTGGACAAATTGAGCATATAAAAGGTTGTTTAGTGGATACTTTATTAGACATAAAGGAAATAGATTGCATCTTATGAAAAGGCATGTGACCTAATCTCTTATGCCAAAGTAAATACTTCTTATTAACAGGTGAAGTTTGATTACAACTAGGTGAAACATTTACAGGTGAAGTTGCAGGGACATATTTATTACATGGAATTGAACCTACATCAAAAACAGATTTATTGTGAGATCCATCAACAAAAGATGATAGAGAAGAAGTTTTGCTGCGAAACAGATCTCTATCTTGATGAAGATAATAGAGCCTGCCAGATGCCTTACCAATTACCAGTGGCCTCTTCATAGAAGGGCCCTGTAAGGAACAATGGAATTTGGTAAGAACTGCTATACAATTCAGCTGAGTAATAAGTTGATGAATAGAAATTAAATTGAAATGGAAAGATGGTACTAGAAGGACATTAAGTAAAGTTATATCATGTATTAGATGTAAGGATCAAGTTGATATAACCTTAACTTTGTACCTATTAGGTAGGGTGACAAGAAATAGTTTAGTTAAGGGCACAATATTTGTGAAGCAAATGTTTGTGTGGAGTCATGTGGTTAGTGGCCCTTGAATCCAAAATCCAAGGGTTTGTACTAGAGTGTGAAGATGCACATACATGAGAATCTACAGACTCTACAGCATAGGCAGTG